GTTTGTATTTTAAACACAATGTGTTATCAGAGAGTTGTACTGTATTAGTCCTATTACTTACTTTTTCAGTTTATAACTTAAAATCCAGGTGGTGGATCGTTATGTTGATCCATTAGTGGCTCAGTTGAAGGCAATGCTAAACTATCGAAAGTTCAGGAGGGGAACAAAGGCAGAGGTTGATGCTCTTTTGAAGATTGAGAAATTGGAGAATCCCGCGCGGATAGTTTATAGTTTTGGGGTATCACATGAATATCCAGGCACGATAATTCTGACCTATATTCGGAGTTCAAATCCACACCACGAGTTAGTTGGAATGTATCCAAAGGGATTCAAGTTCAGAAAACGGATGTTTAAGAAAATTGATCAGCTTGTAGAGTATTTTCAACGCCATGTCAATGACCCTCCGCAAGAGTTAGGGCCACCAATTAGATCAGTTGCTGCTATTGTGCCAATGCGAAGCCCTGCAACTCGGGGTTCTTCAGGGGCATCCGTGGGCAGTGGTTGGGGTGGTTCAACCAATGATGGTGGGCGGAGAAGCCAGACTTCTGGCAGGGATCGATCATCTACATCGAGTTCACGAACAGGTGAAGCTTATACAACATGGATTTGAATCTGTTTGTTTTGCTTGCAGTTCAATTAAGTACATATTGAGAAATACCTTATTTGGTTTGCAACTTCTTCCAGGCCGAAATGATATGGGCAACTTTCCGGGTGCAAAGGTTCAAAACTCACCGGGAAGGGAAGCTTTCCCAGGTGGCTGGGGTGCCGGTGGAAGTGGCAGTGGCAGTGGCTGGGGTGGCAAGAGCAATGATGGATGGGGTCAAGGAAGTGGTGGTGCATATGGAGATGTTGTTGATCCTAGGGCTTCAGGCTGGGATTCTGACCCAAAACGAAGAAGGTTCAGATAACGAGCATTGACGATGGGATGCGCAGTGCTTTATATTATTCTCTTGATCGACCATTGCATAATTCCGGTGGTTACTGCCATGCAAGTTAAACTTTAGCTAACTAGAATATACTTACTGCTCGAGGTCCAATTTGTTGAACAATTTCATGTTTTTTTTTTTAACGTTAAATTTCAAATTGGGAAAGAGGTATTAGAGCTGTGTAAGTTAATAATGCGGTCTAGTGGTATTCGTTTCATTTGTAAGTTAGAGGTTTTATGTTTGATTATTGCTAAAGGCGAATTTGAACCACATTATTGTTAACTTATTGTGAAACTACCCCTCCCTTTAATGTAGATAATATCGTTTTTCAAAAATAAAAATAAAAAAACTCCCAGCACCACTCATCCTCAAACTTAAATTAGCATCTTATTTTATAGAGAAATCAATCTTTTAAATTTAAAATCTGAAGTCTAGTTTAATTTTATAAAAAGATATTATTTTATATTGCCAATTGAAGAAAATAAACTTTGACCTTTTCCTCCTCCCTTTCTTGAAAATTCATATATTTTGCCATCCAAATTCCCAACCCACAACGATATTAAAGTTTGTAAATATCTTTGTTCTCTTTAAATTTTTACCAAGTTTTTAAAATATCATATATTTTGTTCCCTAAATTCCTAATCCATTCATCTCATTTTTTGTTTGAAAATTCCCAACTTATTCTATATTAATTTGAGTTATGCTAGAGAGACTATTTATTTGAGTCATATTTTGAGACCACGTGATAATATTGCGGTTAATGGTTAGTCTGCTTCTTTAAATCATTAAAGAAGAAATCTAATCATCAACTGTCACATTATGTGGTCTCCAAAATATGATTTCCCTAGCATATTTCATAGACTTGATATTGGAAGGTTAATTTCTCTTAATCCTCTTTATATTTGATTAATTACTCTCTATATTGGCTTGATAATGGAAGGTTAATTTCAACATGAAAAAAAGCATTTAGGCCTCAAAAAAATTAATTAACTCACTAATCAAAGCATGTATTATACTCTCTTGTAAATACTATCTATTTTTTAAAATATTTATGTAAAGCTCATTTTCACGTAAAATTCTGCTTCTGCCATGGATCCCACTAATTAAAGAATAAAATTAAATAAAATTTCAAATTCACAACTCTTTTACTTGACCCTCTTTTCTCCGCCTTATTCTCTCTTGTCTCTCTCTATTCTCATACAAACCTCTGACTTTGTCAGAAATTTTGTCAAACAAAATGGTTTATGAGTCAAAACTTTAGACATAAAAAGTTTGGAGTGTTTTTCAAAAAGTGTTTTACATATATAAAAAATGGTTTGTAGATTCTTTCAATAAAAAAAATTAATAAAAGTGGAAGCAAGGCCTATAATATGAAGAGAAGATTTTAGAATTGGTCCAAGAACTTCCATACGTAAATTAAATTGACAAAAAAATGTCATGCAAATGGTGCATGCCTGTCTCGCTCTCCAGTTCACTTCAAACTCTGTTGGTTTGATGATGTGGTACGGACATGGGACCTGTTGAAAATTTTAATAATATTATTATTATATTAAATTTATAATTGAATGGAAATTAAAAATGATGCCTTTTGGTGAAAATACATGTTTATTCAAATGAAGAATTGCAACTTTTGACTCTTCATAAATAGTCACATGCTTTCTAGAGAAGCATCTCAAATTCTATAAATAGAGTAGCGCCTACAATCACTTAATAACTTTTAATCATACATATATTGCACTAAATTAGAGTCTACATTGAGTTTATGTGATAGAGTATTCAACACATCATGGCTCATGGAGTCTTGTGATTTGGAGTGCTATTATTACAAAGACATGGTCATTGTATCTTGAGAGACAAGCGCCGATCAACCATGAGCACCGTAGTGGGGCGTAAATTTGTCTTAATTAAGGATAGAGTGTCTAACAATTGCCTCAGCCGAATTTTTAGATTTTTCTAATCCATTATGTCACTTTCATTTAACATTGGTTACTCATGCGCGTGCATTAATTTTGATAAATAATTGAATGAATTATTTCTTAATTTTGTATGTGATTTAATATAGAAATTAGGGGTCTAATTTTTCCAACAGGACCGGCATGCTGAATTATAAATATGTGTTTGGTTTTGGTATCAAATAGCTTAGGGACCAAATTAAATCTTAAATGACTTGAAAGTTTATGGACTAATTGTGAGACCTGTATATATTCTGCAATTGAATTAATTTGACGGAAAAGTCTCATGGAGAGACATAAGTGACAATTGTCTTATAAACTATCACCGGTAAATTTTTTGTTATTTAAAAAACGCATTGAATAAAGAGTGCATTTTTGCTCACCACCATTTAGTGTGGTGTATGCTCACCACCCTATTTATCACCGTTAGATGAGTTTAAATTTTGAGATTTGTGCTTATCCACTACACGAATCTTGAAAATTCAAACTTATCTAACAGTGATAAATAGGGTGGTAAACATACACCACACTAAATGGTGGTGAGCAAAATAAAACATGTGGCACAACTTCTTCAAATTGGAAGGCAATCACTCCGCGCGCTTAATTGTATACTAACATTTGTCTACACACACTTGTGTGTATGAACATATTTTTTTAGAAAATAAAAAGGAGAGAGAACGTGAGGGGAGTGGGAGGTTTTTTTTTTTTTTGGTTTTTTTTTTTTTTTAATATTGGAGGTATTTTAACATCACTTGTAGGTGAGGCTTCAATAAAAATAGTAAAATTTGAACATGTGAAATTACATTATTGCTCATCATTTTTTTTTTTTTTTTTTTGGTAATAGAAGAAGTAGTTTTTTCTTTCTCTTTTGATTGACAAATATAATTTCATTAATTAATAGAAATAAAAGAAAGTGTTTAGACCCAAAATATTGGTTTGGGCCGAGTGTAGAATCATTCTCAGCCCGAAAGGATTTATTTAAAAACTGCTAGGGGTCGTCTTGTTCATGGGCCGCATGGTTAGGGTCGTTTGAATCCTAGTAGGAAAAGGAACGGCCTGGATAAGGAAGAGGCGGGGGAAGTTCTGCGGTTAACAGAAATCCTGATGTGATAAGGAGTCTCGGTGAGATGAGGAGGTTGAGACACATTTTGAATGCGGCCTGATAGAAAGGTTAGGTCCAAAATCCTGATGGGAGTAGGATTACTCGAGATGGTGTTTGATTAGAAGAAGAAGTCCCAATCCGAGTAGGGTTTAACTACTCGGATTAACTCTACTTAGGAAGTATCTGATGCTATAAATAGAGGAGGCTGTGCATTGTTCAACCCACTCCAATTCAACACACAACTGCCATGCGTAAACTCTCTCAACAACTTTGAGATTTTTTTATTTTCTCTTTTCGCTGACACATCTTCCGTTGGCATCAACAGCACTGTGAAAGCAACCGGTGATATCTTCAGTCGGCATAGATAGCTCTATCGCCGTAGAATCAGCCGATCTCGCAGTATCTTCCGTTGGCATCAACAGCACTGCGGTGAGGACGGTTGGTTACCTATCCAAGTCTCGGTCGAGAAGGATTTCCGAATCCTTATTGATCGAGGTCATCTCATTAGCCTTCTCGGCGAAGTGAGGTGTTACAGCTTACTGAGCTCGGCGCATTACACGCCGAGTTATTTTATGATTAGATACTCTCAAGTGGGATTTAGAGTTCGGCATTCAGACGGCCGAACCACGTTCACTATTAAGACTTATATCCGCTTTGAGTATTTGTGCCCTTACACTTTGGTGTCGATTCGGTGTGAGTTTACTCTGACGAATACCATCACTATGGCTGAATCTGACGACGACGATTCGTGAACTTCGTAAGAATAGTAGCCTTGTCTTCAGGTTCGAGAACCCAAGAGGTTGAGACGTGTTCCTTCCTCGGCCGCAATCACAAAACGCAGAAGTCAGCCGCGCACCCAACGCAACATCAACAAATTTTACTCCTCGACCGAGAGCCGCTCACCCAACGCAACATCAACAAATTCTACTCCTTGGCCGAGCTCGACCGACGAGTTGGTATGTCCCGCATTCACCGAATGACGTAGTTAGCTCATAGATTACTCGGTCTGCGCTCCACGTAGACTTAGTAGTTTTTAGGGTTAACAGTGAGGTTCAAATCTGGTTCGCTCGCTCTCTCTATATATATCTATCTTGCAGGCAAGAATCATCCATGGAGGAAGATGAGAGCGAGATCGGCGAAGCTGCGACGACAGAACACCGTAAGTCCGGTTGTCATTCTCGAAACTGATTTCGTACGAGGATTTGGCTGAATTAGGATGATTTTGATTACAAATTTTCGTTTTAACTTGCTGAATTAAGCTGCGCATATTGAAATTAGGATTTGACAAAATAATGTTGATTTCAGTTGCAGCCGAAGGTGCCGTTGAAGTGGAAGATGAGAGCGAGATCGACGAAGCTGCAATGACGGAACATCGTAAGTCCGATAATCGTTCTTGAAAGTGATTTCGAATAAGGAATTGGCTGAATTAGGATGATTTCGAATTCAATTTTCGGTTTGAACTTGCTGAATTGAGCTGCGCATAGTGAAATTAGGATGAAAAAAAAGTGATATCGAATGAGGATTTGGCTGAATTAGGATGATTTCGGATTTCGGTTTAAGTTGCTGAATTGACCTGCGCGCATATTGAAATTAGGATTCGACTAAATGATGTTGGTTTCACTTCCAGCCCAAGGTACGGTTGAAGTGGAAGAGGAAGAGCAGAGCCAAATAGACGAAGCGAGGAAGACGGACTATCGTAAGCCGGTGAATGAAAGTGATTACGAATTACAAGGATTTGACAATTGTTGCTGAATTTTTTATTAATTATTTATTTCAGATGCACAACCTTTGGCCAAGCTGCCCGAGAAGAGGAAAAGGTCCTGCTTGTGCTTGGCTACTGACAGTCAAATAAGTGCAGTGATGGTAATTTTTTTTCATTCGGCAATCAAATTGAAACGCAAAAAAGTAAGAAAGAAACCTCGAAAAAGGACACTTCCATTCCAAGAAGCTCTTGTGTTTAGCCCTCAATCTCATGTAGTAATCTCTACTTCCATTCCAAGAAGCTCTTGGGTATCAATACGTATATGATTGATTTTTTTTTCTTCTTTTCTGTTTCTTGGGTATCAATGTAGCCGACCCCACTTAGTGGGAAAATGCTTTGTTGCTGTTGTTTTCTGTTTCTTATCTTCAACTTAAGACTTTGTTGATAGATTGATTTAATTGCCTTCCTTGCTGTTTGTTTATTGTATCAGTTTGAGATGCAACTTTTATGTCTTATCCTTTCTTTTAATGTGTATATATATATGCTATGATTGATTGACAAGGTTCTTTAAAATTTGTTAAAATAGGATCATATGAGGCTGTTGTTGAACAACTACGTAACCTCTACATGTACGCGGTCGATCCCCGTCTTCCGTTAGGAGGTTCATGGGTTTGTTTGACAAAACTATACGCCAACGATTGGAGCGGTAATTGCACGAATGGTTACCGTATGTCATACACCGCAACTGGGAGTATTAGAACAACCAAGATGTCCGGCACCTTTTAGATCCAATAGCAGATACAATACCTATCAGGAACCACATCAAAACATGGGAGGAATGCCTCAAGTTCTCGATGGAGCCTAAGTCTACATCAATCTTCAAGATCTTGTCACCCAAAAGAAGAACGAGATTGATTCATCCACTGGATCCAATTCCGCTGCTGACTACCTATAAGATACGTACATTCCATATTACCTATAGCTGCCAAATCACACCGTGTGTGTATATATACATATATCAACTACATAGCTATATGGCTGAGCCTCAATTGTCCCACTGTTTTAACTACCAGCTAGCCTATAACAGCTAAACAATATGTGCATACATAATCTGGATGAGTTCTTGTATCATCCAACATAGTAATAGCTTTTGGTTACTGCTAGCAACCAACCCACTCCAACCGAGTGTTTTCAGCAAGTCCTTTTGACTCGTGCTATCTAGATACTGCACCAATGACCTCTGGTTTTCAACAAGTCCTTAGACTCTTGTTGTTTAGATATTGCACCAAATCTTACCAACGACCTCTGTAAAGGAGGCCTTCCGAGGTCCAAGACCAGAAATCAATTCCAAATGGGCAAATAATCGTTCATGGCTTCTGATGATGATGCCTAAGATCCACAGCCTTTTTGAAGATGCCGATTACGTTAGCAGCTGCTAATCAGATGAAATCCTAAGATCTGGTGCAGTATCTAGACAGCAGGAGTCTAAGGACTTGCTGAAAACCAGAGGTCGTTGGTGCAGTATCTAGACAGCACGAGTCAAAGGATTTGCTAAAAACACTTAGGCAGAGTGGGTTGGCTGCTAGCAACAACCAAAAGCTATTAATATGTTGGATGATACAAGAACTCATCCAGATTATATATGCAAGATTGTTGAGTTGTTATAGGCTAGTTGGTAGTTAAAACAGTGGGACAATTGAGCCGCAGCCATATAGGTACATAGCTGATATATGTATATATACACACTCGGTGTGATTTGGCAGCTATAGGTAATATGGAATGTACGTATCTCATAGTTAGTCAACAGCGGAATTGGATCCAGCGAATGAATCGATCTCGTTCTTCTTTTGGGTGATGAGATCTTGAAGCTTGATGTAGACTTGGGCTCCATCGAGAACATGAGGCATTTCTCCCATGTTTTGATGTGGTTCCTAATAGGTAGCATGTCTGCTATTAGATCAAAAAGGTGTCGAACATCTTGTTTGTTGTAATACTCCCAGTTGCGGTGTATGGCATACAATAGCCATTTGTGCAATGAGCACCCCAATTGTTGGCGTATAGTTTTGTCAAACAAACCCATGAACCTCCTAATGGAAGATGGGGGATCGACCACGTACTTGTAGAGGTTACGTAGTTGTTCAACAACAGCCTCATATGATCCTGTTTTAACAAATTTTAAAGAACCTTGTCAATCAATCATAGTATATATATATATATATATATATATATATATTAAAAGAAAGGATAAGACATAAGAGTTGCATTTCAAACTGATACAATAAACAATCATGCTACAATTTCTGAACAAACCCTTTACTTCCCAAACAGTCAATCCCACATTTTGATGAGCTACACATCCAGTAGGGATTTTAAGAATAAACCATGCTGCAATCTCTAAACACATATAAATGCACTCAGAAGCCACGAGTTATACAGTTGATAATTGAAAAGGTGCCTTTCCGAGCAGTAAAAATTGAAGCAATAATTGGCAGATTGATCTGTGTGAGAGAGAGAGAGAGAGTTGAATGGTTAACTATACCATAGAGAATTGCTCCGGTAAAACTATCTCCAGCACCTGCTGTATCCAGAAGTTCTTGGGGTGGTACTTTCTCAGCTGTTCCCAAAAACTGTCCCTATTCCATTGGGTTTCAATTTTGTCACTGGCTGAAAGGATTAAAATGGAAAAACGTTACAAATCAGTTGGAAATATTTTCCACTTGGTACTTATGCTCCTAAGTCCACGTAAATATTCAAGTCACGTGGATGAAATCCATTAAGCAATCCTCAAAAACTGTATAGAAGGGATGAGGGGCTACTGAGAATTTCATCAAGATTCATGGATACGATAGTATTCCCTTCTAAATTGTCTACCAATGAATGCTCAAATTCTCTTAACCATATGGGGTGCCTTTTGCCCGTGTCACAACAGCGCCTCCAATGGTTTCATCATTTCTTTGGTTTCAATTCACCAGAGTAGCATTCAACTAGACTTACCGACGAAATACAAGTTGGGATAGTTACGCTAGCATCCTTTCTCCGCTTCAGCGATTCCAATAAGTTGTCGGCCTCCATTTCCTCTGTCTGAGAATCCTCTGCAAAAAACAGAGTTTTGAACGAAAACCTAAAAGTTATTTCAATCAGATAAAAACATGCTATATTTACAGAATTGCAAACCACAGCCTTGGACCCTCCGTTTCACAATGTTCTCTTCCTCAATAAACCCTCGACAGTTGAATACTTACCGCCCACACTTCTCTCAAGCATTATGCATCCATCTTCACCCAATGTCACAATTGCGAATTTGATCTTTGGCAGTCGCAAAAGCATCGAAGCAAGAGCACTAGGAACAGATGCTGCTCCTGTCCAGGCCTGTAAGACAAGATATCCAAAGTCACCCACATAAATGACCTAGCGGCATTACACTTGGACCAAGAGATCAAACCAAAAATTAAGACAGCAAGTTTTGGGATTTTGGAAATCAAAAGAAAGAAACTGAACATATATGATTAGCCCGTGGAAATATCGCTGAGCATATGGCATAATCAGCCAAATTTAGGAGATCATCCAACCCTTCTCTTATAAACCTAACCGAGTTCCTATCTTAGTCCAATCTGTCTCATTCGTGTTGTATCATATACAGGCGCATACAACATTAGGCATTACAGTAATATAAGATTCTCAAGATACATTACCTAACCAAAATAATAAAAACCAAAAAACAAAAACTATTGACTGGTTCCAGATTTGAAGTACACAAGCAAGTGTACCCGCGCGTTGCTGCGGGGTTTAGAAAATTGTTGAAAATGTAGAAAATGTAGAAAATATATGTGTTAAGGAGTAGTGTTTAATATGTACATATATTACATTCGTGTGTTCTGATGTTCTTTACAAATATATATATATATATATGAAAATAAATATTCATGATATTGCATTTAAAATAATTAATTAATTACCAAAAGCAATACTACACATTGAGTGACGATTATATCCCTCTAAAATAACTGACTCACTAACTGCCTCTTGACACTACACTGAGATGGTTTAATCTTGTAACACATGCTACCATCTTCATATGACATTGATTGAACCTCACAAACATATAGACAAATCATGTGACACTTGGAATCACCTTAACTCTATATACTCTAACAAATTGAACCCGAAAATAGAAGGCCTTGAATTTCAGTGAAGTATCAATAAGCTGTCCACAAAGTAGGGTGATCAAAGAACATATATAAAAGCATACTAAAAATTGATATACCTCCAAATAGTTCTTCTCGTGGAAATAATTGATTTCAAGTGCCCGCATGCTTTCTTCCCACACATTGCTTAACAATCCATGAACCCTGAGGAGAGAAGAATCAGTTAATAGTTAAACCTTGAATTTCATACGAATCATCCCCCTTGATAAAACTCTGTAGCAAGGGTGTATCTTCGACTGGAGAATTCATCATATGGTATAATGCCAAACCATAAGTAGTTGAACTTGGACCTAGTTCACATAGATAATTTGGTAATTAATGGCAGGCAACAGGGAAAAACTGCAAAGAATAATAGAAAAACCCATGAAAGACAGATTTACCTGAATGTTCACTGGTATATTAAGATTTTGTAAACAGACACACTTCACTCGCACTGGTATATTAAGATTTTGTAAAAACGCTTATTGCTCATATCCCAGCCGCTTTCTCTATCTGCACAAAGCATACACAACTTTGATTGAGACCTGCTGATGAAAGAGTAATGAAAAACATATATATGTTGGATTGATTCTGGGAATATGATCAAAGATCGAAATATGAACTAACTATCAAGCAAGAGAACAACTTTATGAACTGCTTTAATGTATGAGCCAAAAGCACGTTCTGGTCTCAGCATGAACTGGAAATTGCAATGCTATTTATGAAGCGTTTGATACTCATACTCAAGGGTCCAAAATAAATTAACTATAAAATACGGATCTTTTGGGGATAATTTTTCCAACATGAAAACTTAGGGCTTCTAATTGCAAATGATCAAAGCTAGTTAAAGTTAAAGAGATTATCATAATTCATTCAAATCTTTTAGTCCACGATCAAAGGAGCAAACCCTTCATAGATTTTTAGGCAACAATCAATAATAAATAAAATTAAGAGGAAACCAAATAAAAAAATTGGAGACTTTTAAGAACCAACATAATCTACAGAGAGTTTAGAGAGAGAGGAGAGGGAGGGGGCTTAACATCCTTCAGAGCAACCAAAACTTTCAGATAAAATCACACCAAAAAACCCACAAATTTAACGAAAATTTGAGCACAACCCAGAAATTTGAAGGAAAAAAATACGAAAAATTAAATAAAACCCATTTATATTAAATCAAATATTTGAAGCAGAATCTTTACATACAATACATGAAGAAGGTACCTGAGTTGTTGAGGAATAGTTTGAGACCAACATCGACGCCGACCTTCGCCGGAATCGTCGCATAAACGTAGGAAAACTCTGAGGAGTATTAAAAAAATCCTCATCGAAACCGTAACGAATCGAGGCATGCAACGGGTGTTTCTTGTTCCTGAGATGAAAGGGAGACGATTGGTAAAACGTTGAGGTCTGATTTGCCGGCTTTCAAACAGAAATAGCCCGTCGTCGTCAGCTGAGTCACGGAGGGAAGAGATATGGAGACTTGTAATAACACAAACTAAGGGAGGAATGGAGGAGCCCTCCGGACTCGGTGGGGATCTTTTTGGTTCAAATTGAAGTGAGTAGGAATGAACAGATGGAGGAGGAAACTGAGTTTTCTTGCTGTGCTGTCGAAGAGAGTGAACGACAGCTCAATAACTCAACACCGAATGGCAGACATGTAATTACACAAACTAAGCAAGGGCAAAATCGGAACTACACTGTTCTTATGAACAGTGATTCAGTTGTTTTTGGGTTTTAGTATAGATTGAATTTAAACCGTATGCACTATAATATTTGCCTAAAAAACACCAAACGGGTATTCAAATTTATAAATGGCTTTCCAATTGAAGCTTACCACAACAAAAGAAGTATCTATGCTGTCGGCTTGTAGCTCCTGCAGTATACCCCTGCCTTGTGTATCATCTACAACCTATCGTTTTACAAAGCTTACCTAAATCAGACAATCAAGGTTCCCTCTGCAGAAAGAAAATTCAAAGTTACTGATAAAATTAAAGACCATGGAAATCAGCCTCAGAGTCGGACTTATGATTGG